CTGACTACCTGAGAGGGTGAATGCTGTTTAATGGAAACCCTTTCTTTGAATTTCTCAAAGGAATGACGAGTGAAAATCGTTACCAGCGGTACTGGATGCTGCCTAAGTCGTCGATCTTCTTTATGCTGACAATAATGAAAGCCCTGGAAACTCGAATAAATTAATACATAAGAAAATTCAGCAATGAAACTGAGGGAGAAACTGGTGTGTTCGATGGAAACTCTTCGTTTGTGTTTCTTGTCACTGTTGTTTGCAAATATTCATGGAAACGACGACAACGGAGACCTTAAGTGGTAAAAGCACTTTGTCGAAGGGCGTTATTCAATCGATACATTAGACAAGAAGCATTAAAGTTTCATAGATGGTGTAATAAGCCATGCCGTTGGTATTCGAGGTATCAAATTGTCTCGTCTCGATGCTAATAAACGAGCAAATTCGACGCCGCGTACAGCGAGACGAAGGATCGTTGAAAAGTTTTTACGGAAACAAGGAAAAATGATAGAAGTTTCGAACGAAACTGACAGCGATATTGTTTGCCTCGCTAAAAGCCGAGACATTTTCCTACCGCGCATTTTTCCCATATTTCCCGCTTACAACGGTACTATATAGATAGCAGCTTTACGGGAAAGGAGGAAAAAAGTTGAACGAACACGAGATCCAATTTCGTTGTCGACCAACGATGATCCTTCTCGAACTCGAACGTCGTCAATTTTCTCGCGATATTTGCTCTCCGTTTGAATTGTTTTATCATCTCTGTTCTCGTCGAAGCTCGCGGTTAGAAAACACTGGGGAAAATTGCATACAGCCGTTTATTGGCTAGAGTGGAATAACCCGGTGAAGAAAACGCTATAGAAGTTATCGGTTACTTTTCCTTCTATAAACTTCGAAATACGGATTTCAAAGTCTCAACTTCGGATTGACGGTTTTGTATAAAAGCGTAATAAAATGAAATATCAAAGTACTGGAACAAGAAGATTGAAGTAGCTTGTTAAGGAATTTAATAAGACAAGCTTTTAATAAGAGCACTTGAGTGTTTCGTGGGTTCTAACCATCGAGCTCTAATATTTTCGAATATAAAAAGCAATATCGGACAGGTTATTTTTACGTCAAGTTTTGTCGCTGAACAGGACTTTTTATACGATCCTCGTGGACGCAAGATAAGGTCCGTCTTCCGGTTTCTAGGTCAGTCGTTTCAAAAGGGTCAGTTCTCGTAAGATGGAAGCGGAGTATCTAGATTCTCGAATTCGTTGCTTGCCAACGATCTTATGAAAGGATAATAATAGTTTGCTTTTGACGTGCTTCTCGTGCATCGAAATTGGAATGAACCAGGAGAATACGTCAACCCCGGATCGAAACTAATTGCAAACAATGCCTACATTCAACCCCTTATTACCATAAAAGTACCATCGAACATTGTTAAAAGTATTTTCGAAGCAAAAGGAAAATTCAATCGTTCAAACATTTTCCTTATCCTTTATTCGATAAGTTTGATTCGTCGGAAGGAACAGCGGAATATTCCCTCGATTACACTTAGCTTTCGTTTCCCTCTTACGATTTTTCACCACATCACCTAGGCACGGAAGCGTGTTTGTTCGAGCGAGCCAACACCCTTCCGGTTCCTTCCCCTTCGTCGACTGCTACGCTTTTATTACGATGAGAGATTTTCGCACCGCCATCGCTGATAATTTATCACGGTTTTATTGTTTCCCGCTCCCTACGGGGTCATCGATACGATGGCCTACGATGTATCGGTACCTTTTTCCTCCGGAATTTGCCTCGTAACTTTGGAGAATCGAAACCGTTGTTCGGTAATTTTCTAACGCGTTACGTTTTCGTTCCTCGTTTCGCTCGATGAAGACACTTTTCTTCTATCGTTGATAAATGAAATTGCAAGAACGCGAGATGTTGGATAACCAGTAAATCTTCCGCGGACAGCTTTCTTCAGCAACGAGTATTTTATTCGCTGAACGATTATCTATCCACCCACTTCATTTTTTGTGTCAATGAATTTTCACATATAAATCTCTTAATTTAATTTTCAACCACAATAGCCCTCTTATCATTGAAAGGTGCCAATAAGATAAAACAAATTGGTATTTTAATGGAATTCATGAATAGGGCAAAATTGCAGTAGGAATAAGGGACGAAAGAATGGTCAATTGGAAATGATAAGCGGACGGTGATCGATCATTTACCTCGTTCAGGGGCTATTCGAATAATTGCTCGATCGGTTAATGGATATTCCGATAATTGACATTCCAAAGATATTCTACCAAGGTTTCTACCATCCATGTACCGAATTACAGAATCCTAATAACTGTACAAGGAAAGTGCTGCTCGTAATTACTTAAAATCAACGGGGTTATTCTTTGAATTTTATTCTTACACTCTCACCGCTAAACTGCAACCATTTTAAAAGCATCAGGGCTCCCAGCCGTATCCTGTATTAACCAGTCGGATACTTCTACGACCCGACTCTGTTTTCCTTCTGAATTAACTTTGCCAGAGAATCTTTCTTCGATCCTCTTTTATCCGCTGGCAGGGAAGCGTGAAAGCACGTGGAATTCTTAGTTTCTTCCGGAGTAAACGAACGGGGCTGAAAACACTTGGTCGGTAGGTCGACGAGGTGGAAATGGCGCGAATAATTCAAGCGGTCGTAAAAGCGTGGATTTAGAGCCGGGTAAAAAGGAAAGGGTTAATTTGGCAGTCTTTGTTCGATCCAGCAGAGGTTTCGTCGAGCTTATTACAGTAAATATCTTAAGGGATCGTATATTATGTCTCTAGTGCCCCGCTCTTCTTCTGGCCACCATCTTTTTCCCTTCTTCACCCTGTTACCCAACCCTTTTAACGTGATAAATGTATAGCGAGAGGGGTCCTACCAAAGACGCTGACATCACGATGCAATTTCGAAGATAAATATTCCTGTCCTAAATTCTGTGGCCAGGTAATTTACTTTTTTCGGTTGATTTTATATTACAGTTTGATATCCACCGAGACAAATGTGGTATAATATTTTCACGTTGCGGTCTATGATGTTTGAGAAGCTGCAGCATACATCATTCATCCCTTCGTGAATTACTTGATCGCTCTGTTATCCTCCAGAGACATATAGTTCATCTTTGTTGTAATTACAACAAAAAATAGAATTTTAATTGGTATCCTTCCGTCGTGTTAAATAAAATGATAAAATGGATAAGGAAGAATGAGTAACATACAGGTAAATGTTGTGTCAAAAGGTTAAGCTTCATGGGTCTGAGAAAATGACACCTTGAAAGAAAGTGGAGAAGTTGGCCGTTTCGCAGGGACAGGCAGTTAATTAACACTTTAATGGCGACGCGAGGCGTTGCGCATGGTATATTAAACGAGCCTCATATCCTCCCAGCGATTAAAGCGTTACCATTAACACGTTTAACTTTTGCTATCTTTATGAATGGACCGTCTCCCTGGCGGCTGCGAAGTTGATTTATTAAATCGCCATGTTAATTCGAATGGAAATTGACAAGGTTTTCGAGGCCGTGCAGCGAAGAAATAAAAAAAATGATACAGAGTGAAAAAATTATCGTGGACGGTGAATAATTAACACCTTCCCTCCCATGGGGTTCACCGATGAGCGATATTGCGAATTTAATTCACTTACATAATTAAAAACCGAAGGAAGCGAAAGGACCGTGGGTATCATTGAAATTTCAATGGTAATTGAAAATGGCGGATCAAAGTATTGGATTAAAAAATTATCCTGTAATATCCTTAACGAAGGTGATTAATTTTACATCGTACAGAATTACATTCCAGAAATTAATCAAACGATGTTTTTCTCTTTTTCTCCCTTCGTGACACGAGGTGAATTTGCAGAAATGCTTTTTGTGTTTCAAATTGGCCGGAATTTCGGTGCATTGAAAAAAATTTAATTAAAAGAGCGATATCGCGGGGCGAATTAATGGGTGAAAAAGTAGCACTTCCTAGAATCCTGGTTGAAAACCGACGAACAAAGGAGCGTAAAAATGTTCGATGGCCGAGTAGATAAATTTCTAGATAAAATGGTAATTTTTGTCGTTCCCTTTCCGCTTGATTAATTCGTCTAGCGAAAGATTTTCATCGAACTTTAAACTGCAAAGTAGCAGTCCACGAATTGGTATTTGCGGTCGAATTTATGCGTTTCGAAATCGGCTACTTGATATGCAACAACCTAATAGATTAACATGGAGGAAAGTGGAGAGAATTTTTGGGGTTGGTAGTTTGGAAGCGAGGAACACCGATCGCTGTATATGTATGCATCTCGTGCACGTGGTTACAGCCACTCGTGCGAATGAGATCGTATTTGCCGCAGTGCAGGACCAGCAGAAACAGGATAGTTACGCGCCAACTGTTCCGCGCTCTACTATTCTCGAGCCACTCGCTTTCGCGAGGACCATTCGGATGCTCGTGGCGTTTTTAAAAGATCGCTGCTGCGCCATTGTTCGATCGAAAATCACGCGAACGAATTGCGTGGCCGAGCAAACGAATCACCGATTAACCTTGTAATTGACTTTTTCCCTACCGCCATGCCAGCTCGTTTGCCGCCGCCCTTTGTGCGACGGAACGAAATTAGGAGGCTGGTAAACCCGATGTCGGGGATGAAATGCAAATTCTACGATATCAAATACCTTACCCCTCGTGTTATATAGGATTTCAGATATTCGTGCCGGCTAATGTACCAAGGGCGGGCATTTAAAATCTTCCTTTATCTCAATTGTTAATTTTTCCCTGAATTTCAGGAACTAGAAAAAAGGAAAAATGCGAACGTAAAATTTTCAAATGAAATGAAAAAGCGTAATATTTTTTAATGGGGAAAAAAAAGAGCATGAAAAACGGCGAAAGAGCAGCTAGAGAGATTTTTTTACCCGATCCGTTTCGCGATATTTGATGCCCTTTTCATTCTATAAAACAACAGTTTACACGAATGTTTTTAGTAAATCTCATTGAAATCGAAGCGTACGATCAGTATTTGCTTTCAATTTCAGAGGGAACCGTACACAGCTCTCGGCTGGTCGAAACGGACGCTTTCCAAGAATGGTCAACGCTAGATTCGAGCCATTACTTTGATACAACAATCCCGTCGAACGTGACGGGACTCGTTGGTGACACCGTTGAACTGATGTGCAAAGTGAAAAACCTGGGGAATAAAACCGTAAGTATTCTCGTCATTCGCGCTTGCTAAACGGTATTCGTAATTACGACGGAAAATTTTCTGAAAACGATTCGGAGGTGGAAAAATAAAGTATTATATAATTAGAAACTTCTTGAGGAAAAGATGAAAAAGATTAAGTAGAAAAGGAAGAAAGTGACGTAGAGATACTCCCAGTCGGTTCCAGACGATGCGTTACCATTTTTAATCCCGAAACTCATCTTTATGCAAAGCGTGTGCCCGCACACGAGATTTTCTGAGTGTGTACTGCATAATACGTTTCGTTGATATCGTTTCATGTAATGTCGCGAGTAAAATTGAGATTCCTCTGCCAGGTGAAATACGTGACATCTCAGATACGAACTCGATTACCTAAAAACGGATATTCCCAGTAAAAATAGCGTATCTTCGCTAATCTATTTTCCATAATCTCGATACAAATTCGCGACGATTGCTTGGCCGCAACTCGAACGAGCTTGCGGGTAATCTGTTAAATTGCGATGGCAAAAACGATCGGAATTGCCATTTAAGCCGCGAGATCGTCGTTACGGCACGATTCAGTGAATCGAAAGGAAATGTAGTTCGGGTTATGGGTGTTATGACGGCTCCGGATCATCGATTAGATTCCCTTCTAATTAACGACCTGGAGAAATTTCAGCGAGCTCGCCTTAGGTACCATTTTACACGCTTCTCGTTGGAACTTTGCCAGTTTGTTCGCCATTCGGCCGAAGAGGAACCGACTTTTCCTTTGTTCCATAGGGTTTCTCAGAAAGATTTATTCTGTCGTGGAGAAATTTTTTCGAATCGTTCTGTACATTTTATAGGCTTTAGATTAAAACGAGGCTGCTTTGATTCGCGTTAAAACGTTCTCAGAATTAGGAATGAAATCCGGTCGCGTGCAACGTTAATTATAAACGAAAAGTGAAGAATTAACTGGACAGCAGCGGTGTCATTCGCTCGGAGAAACCCATTTGCCAAATTTAACGCAAACGTTGAGAATTACTTAACTCGTACACGAAATAATCTACTCCGCTGTAAATGTACTTATCTGTTAATTAACCGCGCGCACTCGCGTATACATGTTATGTGCATATAAACGCGTTCTCGGGAATTTGATCTCGTAGAAAGGCTAACAGGCAACGTTACTCGAGTGTCCAGTACCAATTTTCTCAAAATTAAAAATATTAAAATATTACCATTGAATGATATTTCTTGTAAGCCGAGCGAACGACGTAAGTACCACCGGTAGGAAATGAAACGATTCGATATACGACGGATTGTATCTATAAAAGGGGTGAAGAACGTATAAGCTAGAAAAGCGTCGAGGTGGAAAGTATAATAGCATAACAACGCGATGGTAGCTCGTAGGATGAGATAAAAAAGAGAAGTAAAAGTTGTAGTATCCGATGTTATAAAGAAGGAAGTGCGAGAGGTAATAAGCTGGCGAACGTCGAGCGAAGCATAATGTACAGTGGTTCGCGTCGTGTATTACCTTCGAATACGACTTTTTAACGCAAACACTGTGTCCCTCGTAAAGCCTTGGAAAACGAGCTATTTCAAACATATCCGGGACAGCTATGAGCCGGTAAAAAATTACTTTAATTTTTAAATTCTCATCGCAGCCAAGCAAAGACCGAAACAACAATGAGAGTTAATCAAAAGGGATATGAAAATTGTACTTACTTTGTCATTGAGTAGTATTATTTTCCTCGAACAAGTAGAACGAACCCTTTACGGTCTGGTTTAGCTATCGCGGTGAAAAAAATCGTAATTCGTTCCCTGAAATAAAATTCCAAATAACAAATCTTAAACTAAAAAAATATAACGAATTTCGTGAAAAAGTTAAAAATTTGTGGAAAATGAGAAGCAAAGGCATAAAGGAGAATTTATTTTTCACTTGAAAAACGGAGCAAAGGATACGCGTGGCGCAATGTTTACGATATTGCGGTCAGTATACAACACGCACACGTGAATACGTGTACGGAAGGGTGAATGTATGAGTCGCGAATCGTCCCGCGTCTAATCATTTTTGTGTTTTAGGGGGTCGATTAATCCCCAGAGTGCGGTCTGACCTACCTTTCATGCACAGTAGCCGGCTCGGCTTGGGTTAGGTAACTCTTAAAAATGAAAACTGCGGCTAGGGTCGAACGACCGCACTTTACGCGTTTATCTTCAGCCTCGAAAATAATAACGCGATATCGATTCGTTTACAAATTGCTCGTCGAACAATTAAACCACATAGGTGTACGTTTCTGTGATTCATTGCGAATCGATACTTTTTGCGATAGTTTGCAGTAAGGATTGTTGCACCATATTTCAATCCTCGTTAACTTTTGAGTTTTTTTTATTGTTCGCAGGTGTCATGGATGAGACATCGAGACATACACCTTTTAACGGTCAGTAATTACATCTATACGAGTGATCAACGTATCCAGACTATTCACAAGTCTAATACAGAGGAGTGGGTGCTGAGGATACAGAATCCGCAGAAAAAGGACTCTGGTATCTACGAGTGTCAAATATCCACCACCCCTCCCGTGGGTCATCGCGTTTATCTAACAGTGGTTGGTAAGTTGAATGTTACGTTAATTGAAGTATCCCTATCTGTAATTGCGATACTTTGAAATTCCAATGATATCGGTCTACATAATTTCCTCGCTTTCCGTTCCTCGGTTTCTCGAAAATCATCATTGCATTCACGAATAGCGGCGATCGATCAACGTCACCGACTATTATCAGACTTGGAATAGTTGGCAAAGCTTAAAAGCTTGTATCCGGCGCGAGTAAGGGAAAAGAAATTGAGAAATTCCTGAAAGCGTAGCGTAGAACCGGATATCCAGGACTTGGGCGCTTTTCGAGTTTTCAGAGTAGGAAAGAAGGAAGAGCTTTCAGGAACGGGGTTGGAAAGATAACGACGTCAAGGATAGGACGGACAGTGTTTTGCGAAAGCAAGTCACGGACCGGAGCCAATTATCGCCAAAGCTAATGAAGCTATTGCTGCTGAAAAGAAATGAAAAGGTAGAGAAATCGCCGCTTCGTCCTTCGATATCTCTTCCTTTCTTTCGTGTCTATCATCAGAGGATCCTTTCTCGCCCTTTCTTTTTTTTCCACTACTTTTCACTTCTTCGCGTTGCTCTTTAATTCTTCCAGACATTTTGAAAATGCTTCATTTTTATTTCACCTCCGTTCCCTTTAAAGATACTGATTTTTCGCTTAATTAAAATATCGCGATCAGGCTGTATACGTTAGGAACATTAATCTGCCTCGTAAAACCGAAAATATTGTATCGTAAAACCGTTTCATCGGAGGATTCACGGCGAAACAAGCGTGTCCCGATTTACCGAGGGAAATTTCCTTCAAATTAATAGATCGTTCCATCGGATACCGTCAAAGCGAAACGTTCGACGCTGTTTCCTCGTTGTCATCGCGCTGTTTATGTCTCCGGAAGATTCACCAACTCACCCCTTTCCTCTCACACCGTTTCCCTTGCTCGTCGTTCGATACGCCCAGTTACTGGCTCGTATAATTACGTCGCTTGGAATAATAACGCGGTTTCCTTTCATGCGCTCGTCGATCGCGTGTACGATTAAACAGCCGATATCGCGCCTCGTCACCGTCGCGATATCTATTTGGTTAGAAAGTAGCAACGATAAGTCGAGCACTAAACAGCGATATCCGCGTAATAATTCCAGCCGCAACACCTCGCGGTAGCTCGTTAAAACGCGAAAAACTCGAAACTGCTTCGAGCTTCCGCCTATTAACCCGCCTGAAAGCGTACTGGCAGGGAAACTTTCTTTTTTTTCATAGCACACGGTGACACGCGTGCAGTTGCATCTTTTAGCGAGTTAGAGAATTAACTCGAGTCTTTTCAACAAAAATTACTAATGCTAAACCGTTGAAGCAATTAAACGAATCGAAATTCGTGTATGTAATTCTATTGTTATTACTAATTTATCGAATCGGATCCTCTTTCGAGATGTACTCTGCATGTTGTAAACAAAAAACAAATAAGCATAAAGTTGTACCGATGCACAAAAGAGAGGAGAACAAAAGGAACATAGGGTGTATTGGCATCGAAACAGACAGCACTGTTGAAAAGCGAAAAGCAAACGCTTGTTTCCAGTAAACAGGCTGAGTAGAGCGGCGTTCGATCGTTGGAGCGTTTCGTGTTTTGTAGAAACACACGCATACAGGCGTACAGGAAAGTAGGCAGAGGAAAAGCTGAGGGGGTTTGAGAGCGTCTTTTCGGGTGAATCAGAGGAAGGTGTTCGACAAATTGTTCATTCGTGGTGAAACGACACACAAACCCCTGCCGAGACGTCTAATAAAGGAAGCAGAGTAGAACGAATCGAGAAACAATTGGCGGGCTCTCTGCGCGGCATTCTTGGCACCCGATACCCGTGAAATTGTGGCGACAAATTGAGTCTTTCTTTCCGTCCACGACCACGACCAACAACCACCACGTCCACCTCTTCCTCCCGATCCTTGCTCCCTCTAATGCTTTCGCCTCCTTCTCTCTTAGCTACCTCGTCCTGGAATCTGGAACGGTTGCGTGGAAAAAAAGAAACGACCCGTTGCTCCTTTCGACGTCTCCTTTAAAGTATCCTTTCCTTTCCACGGAAGAGCTTGTTTCGCTTCCGTTTCCGTCAGCTCTACCAGACCCTTTCCTCCGGTTTCGTTAAAAATTCATGAATTTTCCACGCGACTTTCCACGGTTCTACGTTTTGCAATCTACCTCCTCGTCGAGATAGAAAAGAACAGGGATAACGTTACTTTTTCCTCGATGATCTGTTTTCAAAGGAACGACAAATTCTGCGATTTACCTTCCTAATTTTTATCCGAGAAACCTTTCTCCAGTCTGTCTGAAAGGTCTATCGAATACATTCACCTTTATTAGGTGCGCTTTTTTTTTCCTTCTTTTTACGAATTTGCCCTCGGTGAGGATCTACGATTGCCCCGAAACGATCTCAGTTTACTTTTACTACCTCTTCAACGGTCCCGTCCCTCGAGTTACTTTTATCGCACGCGTCACGATCGGTCCGCCTAAATCGTTTCGAGCTTGAAACAACCGCAGGAAATTATTTCCCATAAACGCAACCGGCACTGTTGACTTTAATAGTAACGCTGTTTCCGCAAATGAATCATTTTCTCTCAGCAATTTTCCCTTCGCTTTATTTTTCCCCTGGAAAATACCGATCCGCGTTGCAAAAATCCGATGATTCGAATATCGAAATCTCGTGCCATTAGAAAAGATCGAATTATAAGCCGGGCAGAATTTGATGAAACGATTTTATCCTACGAGTTATCGATGGCTATTGGTTCACGTGAACTGTGTTAAATTCAAATTCAACGCCTTTGCCTTTCGATGTTCCCAACGGGAATGCTGCATCGCGTTTTTCTCCGTGCATCAATTTTGCAACTCGGCCAACTGGTTCGCGCAAACGAGAAGGAAGAGTCGTAAATTCGGCCAGCTGAACCTCGATAAAGATACAATAACGTTGAAACTAATGGAATATTCTGGTACACAAGAATCTTAGATCGTGATCTAAATATAAGAAGCCTGTTTCCTTCAAATGCCAGGAAAAATGAAACGCTTTGTGTATAAACGAGAAGATTTATAATTGGATTACGGATGTTCATGAAAATGTATGCTTCCACGGGAAATTGATAATAAACTGAATCCCGGATAGGAGACTGCTTTTTTAATTTGCATATTTTGCATCATTCATATAGTTTGCATACTTCTCAGGAACATATATATATATATATGTTCCGTATTTCTGGACAAATTCTTTTCTCAATCTCTTGAATTTATACACAAAGTTTCCTTTTTCTTTTATTAATGGGCAGAAAAATGCACGCTGTCACGCGTCAGCTGCGTAACGTGCTACTGATAAGCTTGAATATACGCAATAACTGATGGTTATTTTTCTTTTTTTCTTCCTCTCTTTATTTCATCACGCGAGAGCACGTGAGCTGACGTGACGTTGACAATAGTGCGTCTCCACGTTTAGGCACGGCCCTATGTAGGGTTGCAATTTATCGGTAATACACGCGACGAAAGCGTCATCGTGACGGATTAACGAGGCGCCGTTGAAAATGCAAAAAGCTTTAATTTCAATGACTATAGGCCGCGTGCAGCACACCGGCCGAATAATTACAAGGTAGTAGACGAGAGGTCGGATCATCGTGATAACAATACTCGAACCTTGCCGTTACAGAGCGTGCTATTGTAATTACCTCTCGTGCCTTCAAGTGCAACGTGCTATTTTCGCGAAAAATACAGGGAACCCTCGTGCACGATACATACCGACGTTCGGTCCCCCTCCATGTCCCCCTTTTTCTATTTTTTTTTTTTTTTCCATCGAGTACTAACCGCAGCGAAGCTTCCATTAGATGAATAATTGCCCCGGAAAAAAGCTACCGCTATGTACCTTTCTGTCATCAACTGGGACGCCGCGTTCATTTCGGCTCATTAGCGTTGCACTTTGAGCCATCGCGTCGGATACAATGCGTCGGACAACTTGCCTCTTCGGTGGTTCCGTTTAGCAAACTAGATTTTTCAAGCAACCATTCAGAAAAATAAATCTGGATAAAAGTAGCATCCGATACGATGAGAAAGAGGTTAAATGATAAAAAAAGGTGGAACGCGTGAACGAGCGAATCTAGTTGCAGGATTTTCGACTTTTCGGATTAAAGTGGCCCACGGCGGTGAAGTTTGTACATTTTCATGGCGTATCGTTCTCGCTCCGCGAAAAAGGGTCAGCCAGCCCTGCACCGTGGGAAGCTTTTAACGATTGAGAAGCAGTGGAGCATATCCGTTACAGAAGGAGATACACCGGTCGAAAGTGATTCGAACGGAAGCATCGCTTAATCCTGTTTCCTAAATCCTCTGATCGTCGTAGGTACGTTGGACCAAGCAACGCCGGCTAAATCGTGGGATCCGAGCGATTTCAAAAGTGGCCGACGGATTTAAATAAATTAGCTAGCTCTTACTAATTTCTCGGCGTTGCTTAACTTTGGAAATCGTAAAATTACTTTACCCTCCGGCTCGTGTAACTCGTAGTAGCGTTGAAAAGTCGCCGATTGCGTCCTCTTAAATTCTCCGCCCGTCCACTTCGTAATCTCGGAAAGAACATTTTCGTGTTCCTTTTTACCCTTTTTACCCTTTCCGTCTGCGTTCTCTACATTTATGATAGAAATCCTTAGACGAAACAAGTGGCTATATCGGTTCGTTTCGGCTCTAACGTCGTCCTCTGTGCACTGGCTATAAACGTCAGCATCGCAAGGGTTAATTACGTGGCGGGTGACATCGACGATTGCTTTCAACGCGTAAATCGATCGATACGTACATCGTGGAAAGCGGGTTGAATAGCATTGGACAGCGGGGGAAAACAGTGTATAGATTGAAAGGGAGCGGTGGCGTAGGGATGGCGATTACGGCGACACGTCTAGCAATTGCTGGCGAAACATCGGTTAATCCGGTTTCGATAATCCTCTCATTAGTCGTCGGTAGATTAGACCAGGTGTAGATTCGATTGCAAGGAAGGTAGGATAAAGATAAAAGGGAGAAACGATCCGTGGTTCGAGGCTAGGTCAGGATAGAGGAATAGGGGATTAAACGGGCGAGGAAGGGTGCGGGTGATACAAAGTTTCGTTAGTTCAATACGAGGCTGAATGATTTCCGATTATTGGACGTTCGCCAACCACCCTCTCCGCTCGGTTTAACTGAAAATAAGGGACGTCATATTGAGAATTAGACGAAAGTAATGTTTAGAGGTTGACGAATTCCTGCGGGACTCGTTGGAACATTATTTCACGGGATTATCGCGGAACGGTATAACTGCTCTGTCACCAGGTTTGGGAATAACGATCGGGCTTGTTAGTCGATCGTGATCGAAAATAACCGCGTGCTTCTAGCCGAACCTTCCATTAGGATCGTATTTGCGGTCGAACGAGCCGTGTCTCGCGAACATTTATCGTTCGACTGCGATTAATCCGTCTGGACATCGTGTTATGGCCAGCTCGAATGGAACGGCTTACGAAACCTGCACATTTCCTGACTAATCGATGATCGCAGTTAATCGAAATTCATTTTCATACCGCCCATCGAGCTTTTAAAAACAATGTCTTAAAATTCTTCGCGTCTCGAGGGTAGAAATCATTGAAAGTGCTGTAGGAGCCCGAAACACGTTGAAGGATCGGTTCCGACGTGACGCGTCACCGGGACACCTCCGTAACAGAGATAAATTATTCCGGTCCGCGAAAAGAGACGAGCAGGATCAATAATGAAGGTCGCCGGTGTGCCACGAAAGGAGAAGGTTTAGCCTGGCGAAGCGATTTCCATTGCGGCTGAAAATCGTGACTAGGATTCGAAAGGACAAATAATGCCGGACTCGGTGCTGTCTTTTCCCCATGATCGAGCCCGTTAACCCAACAGATGTGCGTACAGAGTGTTTTTATACTAACATTGCATTACCATAAAAAATCAACATAAATTCAGGGTGACTGGCGCTGAAAAAGCTGTGTCGAACAATTTCCACTTTGTACGTTCATCCATTGACGAAGATGCGATTTAGAAAGGAGCGAGTATCGCAACGGACGGAAATCGCTTTTCCTGTGGCTCTTGAATAAAAAGCAAGAGTCGTGGCTCTTAAAGCCGTGGAATCAACTTGATTAAATCTCGGGATTTCGGTGTATCAACGTCGAAGAGAATTCTATTCTTAGTAGAGCGTCGATTTACTATCCACTCCCACTTGTTGTTAACCTTTACTATTTTTTTTTTTTCTTTTTGAGACTAACAGAAAGCAACGGTGATTCAATTGCGGCCGTAGTCGCGGTCGAGTTACGTATCCGTTGCCTCTCTCGATTTATTTCCTGTTGGATGGCTCGAGCAAAGATCGATTAGGAACGAAGATCGATGCTTCGGTTAGATATTAATTCGCTGAATTAGTCGGACGTTCCGGGCTCCAGTAAGAGATAAAGCTGTGGGATTATCGGAATTGGTGCTCGCAATAAATACAAGAAACACTGAAGCGGCATTTATTAGACCAGCGGAATGAAATTAATTCAGAATTCAGCGATTAATCAATCGAATATACTGAAACGCGAAGTAATTCAGAAGCATCCATGATCTCTCGATAATTTCATTTTTAAATTTTAAATTTTACTTTTCACCTTACCAATTTTCACTTTGAAGATTTCAATATCACGAAAATCCTTGCTTATTAATTTTTTCATTTATAAAAAGGACGGATAAAGTTTCTATATTTTCGTTGAATAAAAGAGTTGATTGAAAATTCTCATCCGATACAATGAGAAAAAGCATCAATCGATAGATCGATCGAAGATAAGTTCAGCGAGGCAATTTGTCGCGTTGAACTTTCAGTTTGATCGATCAATAACCGCCGCAGGTGTCAGCGTATCTCCTCCGAGGCAGCTACTAAAGAACAGATTGATTATTCCTTAAGGAGCGAATCCTCGTGGTGCTGCTGTACCTCGTAAAATGTCTTCCATACCGATAGTCATCCCCTAGTACCCCTCAACCCCCGAGAGTTCCCGGTTGAAGAGGCAATATGCCGCTTAGGGATGCGCTTCACCGGAGGAAATGAAGATCCTTCGCCGCTGTGTTGCTTTCCGCTCGAACGGACACCGGATGTCGTTGGCTAGGAAATCTAGAAACTCGACAGCTGATACAGAGATTTCTTAAAAGAACTCGCTTTCCTCCTTCGACCATTCTCTATCTTTTTGGACGCTTATTCCAGACGAAAGATTAATTAAGTTGCAAAGTAAATCGAGAGGACTCGTAGTTTAAGGGTAATTAATTCTGAAGCTAATTCCGAAGCTCTGAAGTTTTAAAGTTTAAAAATGTTGAACCTTTAAGGGCATTGAACTTGCGAAGTTTCGAAGATTCGCGACTACGAACTTGCCAACTGTGAAGTTACGAACCCTTAAAGCTTCAAAGTTGAGAATGGTCGAAATTCCAAAGTTGCAGACAGACATTCGGCTCGAATGTGGCAGTAAGATGGCCAAGCGCGATATTGGCACCTCCATACCTAATAAGAAGGATCATGGAAGTGGGAATAACACGGTGCTAGCGTTGCTCTAGCAGATAACGTAGACGATTATGAACACAAAGGGCACGAATTCGATTCCCCTGGCTTCTAGTTTCGGCTGATCCTATTCCGAATTGTTCATTATACACACTCTGCTCGCTTTATCTACCAGCATATTATTAAACCCCCCCACCTCGGTGTCCGGATGATATTTGGGAACAATTGTTTTGCCAGCGCTATAATTTCGCGGGAAGATCATCTCACGAATCAACCCGTCGAGGGAGTTAGTTCAGATAAATTACGAACGCTGTAAAATAAACTAAAGACGATTTGTTGAACAGAACAACGGTTGCATTTCCTTCGCGAAGGAAACAGCTTCGTTCTCTGTACGAGCGTGTTTGTCTTAGAACTGGCGAAGTTTTCTCCAGGCAAGATGGAGGAAAATTGAACAAAGACGGAAGAGGGTTGGGTCAGTAACATCGCGACTAACCAAAGAGAATTCGTGAAACTCGAGGAATCCCGGATGCCCGGCTGTGATATTCCTTTACCGCGTAGGTAAACGTCCGAGCGTCAGGATAAACCTGTTATTTCCCCGCTGCAAAATGTCACGGGAATAACAAGACCGCGCTGTCGAGATGATTACTCGCGTCAATGTTTGTTCGCTACCGTGCGATCAACGGGTCAAACGTCCGTGTCCGTGCCCTTTGCTATCGTGTGCGTTTGAAATTTCAACCCTTTCGAGCGAAAAGCAAATAATTGTTATACGATCGGCATCTCTGAATACCATTCTGATGGTTTAGGAACGCCAGAATTTTCCTCCGATAACATAGTTCGTTCGAGCATAAACTTCAAATTGCATTGTTTGCTTTTGTAAGTTCGGTACATAGGTTAGACAAACAAATTTGATCAGCTTTTTACAGTTATCGTGTAGAGTACACTTTCCATCTGAAATTTTCTATTTCCTTTTTTTATTCGCCATTGAACGTCCGAATGGAGGAAAGAAATACTGCTTCGTTTGAGAAAAATTTATATTCCCATAGAGATTGTATCGGTAGGATCGCGAAACACGAGGCGTCCCCATCAGAACGGTTCAATAAACGATACGGTTTTCCAAGCAAGTAGACGCATTCCGATGTATCCCGTGTTTCGTTGATTGTACGCGACGCGAATTCTTTCTTAGGAGAGATTCACAAGCCATGTAGAACTGATCGAATCGGTATTCCCTCGGACAAGCGTTGCTTTCACGGAACAGTATCGGATATATCGCGTCGAGAGATCTCCGTTCCCCGTTATTGGATTTTATTCGGCGGACCGAGCCTTACCCTCTGTCTAACAATAAGATTGAATTTGACCGGTGCCGAGGAAAAACAAACATCTGACCGTTCGGTTTTTTCCATCGAAGCTACTATTCTTCGTTAAGATCGCTACGAGCGTTGTGTCAGTTTCTATAACGGAATTTCGTTTCATCTCGAAAGCTGATATCGCCGATAAGACACCGGGTGTCTCGTAAACACTTTTTAGAAAATAATAATTATCTATGTAACAAGCGTTCTTGTTCTGATTTCAGAGCCAGAGACGGAGATCTCCGGAGGTCCTGACCTGTTCATCAACAAGTACAGTACGATAAATTTGACGTGCCTGGTGAAATTCGCCCCCGAACCACCGTCCACGATCGTCTGGAGCCATAATCACGAGGTAAGAGAATTAATTAATAAAATCTCGAAAGCCGGTATGGAATTACCGAAGGAATTAATCAGGTAGGTGTAACTGATTGTTATCACACGATATCGATTATCAGTGCAGTCGAAGGCGTTATTTATGAATGGCCACTAACAAGCTATCGGTTGTTCGCCGACAACGAAATACAGGTTGGCTTATATAAATAAGAAACTGCTTCTAGGATGTAAATTATTCACGGTGTAACTAAAGCTGTCAGTGATTGAGGAACGAGGATCCTCCTCTGGTGATTTATTACGTAAAGAACTTTCATAGCCTTCATCTTCTTTCGAGTCGATATTATAAACGATCGATGGAATGAAAGTTAAACGCATACGCGTTAGAAATGCATTGGAAATTTCATTTTTCTTTTGCTTTCTTTACTTTCTCTGGCATGCTGCAATTTTCGTCGCAAAAAAAAATTGGGAAAAAATGGAAAAAAACCTAACCTTTTTCGCGAAGGTTAGGTTAGGTTAGATTTCTTTCTTTCAATTTAAATGGTTTAAGCGCAATCTTATTAAAGAGCGTTCTCAAAAAAGATGAAAGAGATTGGTTTTCGCGATTTCTCTGGCATGCTGCAATTTTCGTCGCATTGTTGATAATAAATAGGTGTACTAGGAAGCCGGTAGGATAGGAAGTTTGAAAAGTTGCACGAACTTGGGGTTGTTAAGTCCTCTCTTTACGACTTTGCTCTTGTTTTTCTTTGCCTCCAGCCGATTAACTTCGAGTCGCCGAAGGGTGGCATCAGTCTGATCACCGAGAAAGGACCTGTAACTTCCAGCCGTCTGCTAATTCAGAAGGCGATCGAGAAAGACTCAGGCCTTTACACGTGTTCGCCGAATAACACTCGTCCTAACAGCGTGCGGGTTCACATTGTCGATGGTAAATTTTTGGATAGTTTGCCCTGTGATCGTCTTAATGGCACGGTAGAATGGATTAATCGTTTCATTCGGAAACGCGAGTATCGCGTTAGTATATTCGTTTCGTCGTTTCCTAACGACGTACGAGCAAACAAGGCACAAACGAGTTTCGTAAAGCGTATAATCAAAATGAAATTCTCGGTCGCGTATAAGTTCGCTCCTTTCGCGTAGCAAGCCGAAGGAAACGGGGAAACTTCGCGGAAGAGTTTGTTACCAGCGAACGCGGGGCTGTTCCGAACAGTTTCAGCGGAGTTTCCGAAATTTCATTTACGTGCTACTCAGACATATTAGCAGATGCTGTTCGCGCATAATTTAACGTAATTGCACGAACGAAGTGGAGATCTCGGCACGTACGCCTATCACCGATCGATCGGTACTCCACCTTTCGCATTGTCGTAAATTTACTTTGTTTCAGAACATCCGGCGGCGATGCATCACGGCGCCGGCCACAGAATAGCTGCGACTTTACTTCATTTTCTTTTACTTATTTTCGGGATCATTTAGCCGGTGCTCGGTCTCGACAAGTGGTCTTCCCTGCGAATTGTTTCCGCGTTATCGATCATACTCGATTCAGTTTATCTCTATTCCAACGATGTCTGAACTTGGCCGCTCGCTTCGAGCATCTTCGTTTTCCTTTTATTTCTATTTCGTACCTCTTCAATTTTATTGCTTTCCTAAGTGTGTCATCGTTTCATTTTGCGTTCAGTTGATTTATTTTTCTTTGGAAAATCATATAGACCATCCTCGTGCGAAAACAATTTTTCTTTGCACGTATATACCTATCCTAATGTTTCGGAATATCCTGTAGACAGTGATTTAATTTCCGCGCTTGTTTTCCTTGCCTCGGCATGCACGACACGAGATCGCGCACTGGTTCGTGTGAAATTGTTCTTTTCGGTAGGAAAACAGACGATGTGTTTTTTCTTTTTCTTTTTTTTTTTCCCACTGCAACAGACGAGCTCGACAATCGTTTCGGATTGAACCATTGAATTCGTATTCGTTGCCGTTGTTAGTCCACGCTCGGAAACGTTTTACGGATCGGACAGACGTTTTTAACGAGCCTTTTACACGCCGATCGACCAGCAACAAGCAGTTAGACGAAACTTCGATGATGGAATCAGTAACCGAGTTACAGACTGACGTATATTTAATTAAATAAAAAAAACAACCGCATTGTTGGCAACAATGGCGGGGAAACGTCGACAAGGTGCTCCAATAATAAACTTCCTTCTCCCTTGTTGACGAAACTTTACCGTACTTCCCTCGGTTTCGATACGTTCACCTCGAAGCGACTTCCTATCCAGGCAAACTCGTTACGTTCTATTTCTGCCTTCGACAAATGGAATCAATGTTACAAGGAAACGCGGAGTCTTTCGTGTCATAAGACGTGGCATAAGAAACGAGTGAATTCGCTTCGAAGATAAAACTCGATCCTTCTCGCATTCTTCCATGTCTTTTCATATGATTTTTGGAACACCCTGTACGTACGTTTTTTGAAAAAGTAAATCAACAGATTCTTGCGACTTTCAGTTCGCGAGATTAACAGATATTCCAATATACGAGTAAATAAGTTCGATAGAAAATGCTATCGATTCGTTCGACGAATTAACGAGAAATCGTAACGCGAAGGATTTTCTTGGTAAACAGTAAACTGAAAGTTTCGTTTCATTTTTGAAATAGAAATGTTTACAGAGGGTACAGCAATGTGTGCCAGGAGTTAAGGAAAAAGAGCGTTGCTAAAGGATTAAGGAAAGAAACGGGAGGAACAGTTTGCTCGAAAGCTGTGTCGGGCCATTCGTACTGATTACTACTTAATTTTGCTCTTTTTTTTTACCGAGTCTAAACCATCGTGATTACGGTGAACTGCGATTACTTCCTTTTCTGCAGTTTTCTTCCTACGTTCGAGTTACTGTTTTACTGTACACAACTTCGCCGTGAAAGGAAGGAAAAATATCGTTCAGCGAGCAAATGGAAGGAAAATATTTGCTCGAATAAAAAAGATGTTTTGTCAATCTGAACCAGGACGAAGATTAACTTTTTTTTTTTCGCGGATATCGCGAAAGGACGAATTGAAAATTTATTGCATCGTTTGATTCAGAATATCTCTTTTGTATACAGAAATTGAAAAGTAACGCACGAATTTCTTCCCACAATTTTACATTTTATGGAAATGGAAAAAATCAATTGTTGAATTTGAAGCGCGAATATTCAGAAACGTGCAGTAACTTACAGTAATTCGAATATTCGTTCAGATAATTAAAAATTCTAAGATAACTTTGTTGAGTTTAAAGCGTGAATATTTAATTTTTCATTTTTCACATTACTGACCCTCTACAACACCTCGTGAAAGTTTGATATAATGTAGCAAGAGTTTTTGATTTAAATTTATAGCATGCTTTCTTGCATTTTTCATCGTGTCTGGCTTGAAATATAAATTACTCGTGAAAATTTCATTCGCCTTAAAATTTTGGGCGAATAGATGTATAAATCGCTGTAAGTTGAATATAATTAACTGCCATTATCTGTACGCGTAATAGTCGTGGTTTTGTTGTATCTAAGGGACCATGAAGGTTAAGCAAAGACAGATGGTCCAATTATCCTGATTAACGAGTGTTATTTGGAAAATAAGACACGGACGTTCGTAAACCATAGCAAAAACTCCATGGTACTCTTTTGATTGCGACACGATACCATTAGTCGTAAGTCTTTTTACAAAATTTGAAAGATAAAGAGAGAAGCACCCGTTAGTCGTACGCGATATTAAATGCTATTAGTCAAAAATGGTAAAATTAGATAAGTCTTCTTTATCTAAGAAATTTTTTACGAATGTACATAAATAGATAAGAAAGTGAGAATCTTCTATAGCGACGTATCTCCCCTTTGTAGCGATTGATTAAATAAAACAGAAGAGTCTGTTCGGTGTTATTCTAAAAAGTGTTTAAAAGAAATAACAGTTTACATGGATCGTTGTTATTTTTAATAATTTACGAGAAATAAAGTATTCGTCACGGACTGCCCTTGTTCTTATTACCGAAAGTAACAAATTTTCCTGATAACACTCCCTCCTATCTTCATCAGTGGTTTGTTGCTTGAAAAATTTTTATCCTCATCAATATTTAATGAGGTTTCTTGTTAAACGGCACCGAGCTCCCTCGAGAATATATAAAATTATTGATAGCGGTGTGTTTAATCAAGAACGATACAACCTCAACCTTCCCCTTTTCACGGTACATTGAGAACAAAGCAGAATATATTCGCAAACGAAAAAGGGTCGTGATATAAAAAAAGATTCAGAAAACAGTGATCTAGTTATACCGAATTCAAGTGTAAGTAGAATAAAGCGAAGGACGAATAAAATTATCGAGAGTGGTCTCATTTTCAGCCTGGAAAGCATTCGAGTATATATCGAGGGAGCCGGTAAGCGTGAAACGGTCGCGAAACAGCCCTTTCTTTCTCTCTAAGCCCTTTCTTTTTTCTCGTTTCAAGTTACCGTCGCCAGTCGACGTCGCATTTCCAAGGAGCCGTTTTAATTAATCCGCGAGCGCCGACTGACGCTAATTACCCCTCTCTGCACCGAGACTTTTTCGCACGTTCTCCGCTTTGTAACATCAACCGGTCATCCTCTTCAATCTTCCGTTAGATTTCACCTGCCGTAGGCGTGCACTTGGATCGCCCTCTTTTTCTTCTCATTCCCTCCCCCTCCCCCGCCAATTTTTCTATTTTCACTCCTACTTCACCTCCCACCCTCTCTTTCGTGAGTATACAGTTTTTGTTCGCGGTTTAATGACGCGAGAAAATATCTTCACCGTTGAAAAATTCGACGGCCCCTTGATATTCTGATCCTTCTTTAATTAGTTCCAACAGCGAGCTGCTTAACCAACCGAGAGATCCGATTTAGCGGTCTATTTTGCAACGAATATCGCTTCTTCATTTTTTTTTTCGCGCACCATAATCACACGTGATAATTCTTTTAATCGACTCGTTGCTTACTGGCTGATGTATATAAAATTTTTATGCATCGTGTACAAATTGTACATCGAGATCGTTCGAATCTCCAGCATTTTTCAAGCAGGAGAAATTGATGAATTTCGAACAGATGACGAGCAACGAAAGGCACTAATTAGAGCGATAGAATTTCAAGTATGTCTACGCTCGTTGAACAGCGATCAGGACGCGTTCGATCAAAAGGGAGATTTCTGATACAATGCCAAGCCAGAACACAAATAGCCACAGACATCTGCGTACGTCTGATTGACCCATTGATTCCCGAAACAAGAGACAGTTAAACGGGATAACGATCGACTTTGGACATGGAATGCTTGGAGAGCGCATAACTGCTGCTAGTGGCGAAATGAATGATTAATTAATTAAACGCGTATAACTTTATTCGCTCGCTGTGCTTACGTAACGATCCGATAATAAAAAGGAAACGAATAAGTGGAAACGGCATTTAAATAACAATCGTTTTTTCTCTTTCACACCCGGCACATCGTTAATCGTATAATTTCGTTTCGCTGAAAGAACGTTTTCGAGCACTTTATCTGGGGCAAGATCGCGGCAAACAAATATAACCGATCGACGTTAATCCTCGTTTCCGCCAGTGGCGAGATAATTAATGCGTCTCCGAACAAGGGAGCCACTGGGATTTTTTTCTCCTACCCCCCCCCCCCCCCCCCCCCCCCCCCGGAAAATAAAAGAATCCCGGAAAATAATTGCGTGGAATACAATCTGTTGGCCTTCCAATTAGAACTTCCTTCGCCGCGACTCTATTTGTTGCGCGGAAGTTTCACCGAACTTTTTAATTAAATTTTATTCATTAACGCGAGTGTGTATAACGGGAATGGAAACCTTGAGCAGCGGTTTCGCTCGATAAAAGGTAAGATGTCGCGGATGGTTTATACGGAAAAAACGAAATTGAACGAGACTCGCGATTAATTTCCCCCGAAATCTCGTCGCGTTCCGCGAACGAGGGTAATTAAAAATTATACCGACCGCGTCGTCCCCGATGAAGCTGATACGCAGAGGGGAGCATAATTAAATAAGATAATAGAATTCGGTGCTGAAACGAAGCTGAAAAAGCGCCGAGTATAATCCTACATTATTTTCTTTAACTTAAGATTGAAAATGATAGCTGGTAATTATCCATTATCAACTGTCCGTCAAAGGGTTGTTCGTCATCCAAGTTTAAAGTATGTCTAGAACTGTAGACGGGTATTAGCTGTAATGTAAATCAACGTTAACTTTTACAATGGATTTGTAAAGTTCAATTTAATCCGTAGGGCAGATTTATGTAGACCGATGCGCTCCCGTTACGCTCGAACTGCTTGCTGCTCGCTTCTTAATTACGTCTCCGGATCCACGTTCGCGCTGTTTTACGATTCGCATTTATCACGGTCCTCGTAAGATTCCCGTTGAAAATATACTGCTGAGAAACAAGAGAACACGGCCACCGTTCGTTAAGGCGTTTAACTTTATACGCCTCCTAGTCTGGTCCTTACTACAAAATCGCTACTCGTTATTTAGTTTTCGTTCAACAAGAAATACAATTAAAATCGAGCTACTATTACTCTATCATTCGGCTTTTATTACTCTATATTCGACTTGTATAGGAAAGATGAAATTAAATGGTAAATGGTTGCGTCAAGTATTTAGCGAAATGAAATGCAATGCAATTATAGAAAGCCTCCGTAACTAAATTAAATTTATTGGAAAAGCAATCCGATATTATTAAATGATTGCGTATCAAATGACCGATTTCAGTTTAATCTATTAAAACGTCTTCGAACTCAGTTTCAATCCCGCGATCTTGCATCTTTGATAGAGTAGAGAAGCGAATGGTTTCTTAACTAGAAAGCAAAGTGGAACGCCTTTATTGCAAGGAAACGTTGCGTGAACGGGGAAAGATGTTATTTTCATTGTGAAATTATACCCTGAAAGCGTCCTCCAACGTTTCCTAGCTTTTAGAACTTTGAAGATGGAAAGTTCGTGTGGTAAGACGAGAACGTCATTTAGCGTTGCGAAAATTTATAAGGACTTGTAATTGGAATAATATTCTAACCGAGTTGAAAGTTTCGCTATATGCTTGAGGTAACTTGAGAAATATCTTCCATTTCGAGACACTCGACGACTTCTATTTACGAAATGTTTGGAAAAGGGTTCAGGACCAGAATAAATTGTCATTCATATATTTAACAATTGATGTCGTTTTAACGTTTCATCTCTGAAATCCTTCAGAATCGAGTAGCGTCAGCAATTAGTAAGTCGAGTTATTTTTGCAGTTGGATTAACGGAAAATTACTCGTTTCTTTTCGTTTCTTGGTTACCTTCGCAAAACGAATCGGTCCTTTCTAACGACGTCTTCTCGAAAGGCAAAAACAAGCTGAAATTATCCTCCCGAGTGTAGTTTCATCCCCGAAGGAGCTTGGTTGTTACCTTTATTCGTTGAAATCGCCGATTACGATTATCCTTTGCTCCGGAGCATCGCTGACAGGGTGGTAATTAAGCGCCTTCCCGGCCACCATCTCTCGTTATTGTCCTTTATTTTTCGAGGATCCCAGGGTTCTTGGAAATTCCCGGGATGGAATCAAGGGGACGGAAAAAGCGCAACAAGCACAGGTGTAATTACAGCTCCCTGGCGAGCGAGGTTCGTTAAGACAAAACGGATAGCGCCGTGTTGATGATCTAACGTGGATTAATTAAAGACGATCTGCGTGGCTCGAAATTATTTTCCTAACCTCTGTATCCGACATTATTAACATTTCCATCGGCTTTGGTCTTTGACCAAATCGTAATTTAAACTTTCCGCTGGAAAAGCGGATGTTGCTGCATATTGAGAAGGGATGAAGTCAGATTTCTTGACGAAAAATGAAGTTGCAGTATCGGTCTCGTTATTACTCCGCGAATTAAAGTATCCAGGTTCGGGCAAGAATTAAAGCGCAGCGTTTCGTGGCTCGCGCCAAACGTACCATTAATTTGTTTGCTTTATCCCGTGGAACTGGGTCGTGTTCCTCGAAGCGAGGGAGCGTCGACAAAAAAAAAAAAATAAAAGAAAATAAAAAGAGAAATTTTTAATCGGCCAACGCGAGCGGTTAGCCAACCGAATAAAAATTGCAGCGGTTAATTAGAAATGTAAAAAAGTGTGAGAGACAGAGGTGGCTTCGGTATTGTCTATAACGAAATTCAGACGAGCACGAACGTTGCCGCGTGTGTACGTGGATTAATAATAAAGCGGCGTACGCGCGGACGTCGCGGGGAAAAAAAGCAAATTAAAGCAAAAAAGGGAAGAATTCAATTCGAATATTCATTAGCGGTAGCCGCGTTTCTCTCGGTACATTATTTCAAACGGATCGTCAACGGCACGCCACGCACTGCATAAAAATGCAACGTTGTTACCGGTGTGACGTTCTATTATTTTGTCACGTACAAACTGTGATGAAAGGGTGCTGGAAAATCTTGAAATTTGATTTCCGCTCCGAGATCTTTATCAAAAATTAAAATATCTTTTATATTTTGCGCATGGTTTATAAAACGTTTTGTCTAAAGCGTAACTCTGGAAGCAACTAATAAAGAACTGCCTGTATAAGGGTTCAATAAATGTTAGGGTAGCCGATTTATTGGGACAAAGTGTAACCTCCCCTCGGCGTACGCCCGAACCTGTTTTCTTCGGCAACAACCATTCACCGTCGACCCTTTTCATCCTTTCTTTCATACCATTTTCGAATACGCATCCCCTTGACCAAGTCGAAATCGTTTCTCATTCTATACATCATCCCCGACCTCTTCTATTTAACCATTTCCCTACGACCCCTGTGAAAATCAATTCAACCCTCTCTTTTCAAAACTGCCTCTCTCTGACTTGACGCTTTTCACGTCCAATGGAAATCTCATTAGGCGCACAAATTGCAAATTTTCATATCTCTTGGAATATTATGTTGGAGAGTTTTGAAAGTAAAACCTCCCTGTCTGATTCAATTTCTGAATTTAAATTGTATGATGCTGAAATCGTGATATTAGAAGGAAATTAAAATTCTTTTTTTTTTTTTTTTTTTTTCAAATAAAATTCCAGTGACGCGTACAGCGAATGCATGTAGTTTATAATTGAATAACCAAATTTTTCAATTATTCATTTCAACGGCGCCCGTGATATTTCGGCAAATATTTCACGTTATATTCTTTCGATTGAATATAATCAATGTTCGATATTTTATCTCTTTTTCATGTTACGAAATATTCAAATATCGATGGGAAAATAGAAACCGTGTACTTTTAATTAACGTAATTTCACCCATTAACAGATTGAAAATTGAGTGAATTTTTTGCAATTGTACCGAAATCTTGGAATTGCGTGAAATCCAACAAGGCTGATAATAAGCTTTCTAATGACGATTTTAATCAACTGCAGGAACGCATATATAACCGCGAATTAGCTGGCTGGTATCGCGAGCATGGAAGCTAAAAACGATGGTTGTTGAACGTCCAACGTGAAATTTTATGGTTGACTACGCGCTAATGCGCTACACTTTGTCGCGGTGTACGGTTGCTCGTTAATGGAACCACGGATTAAGGAGACTATAAATGTTGCCAGGGCCAACTGTACGCGTTGATAAGTGGCTGAAAGAATTACTCTGCTTTATGGTTAAACGGCTATTACGGAAGCGAAGGTATTCGATAAAGCTCGATCGTGAATTAACGCATTACCTACCTTCTATTACTTGAGACGTTAGAACTGGAACGGGTTTCGTTGGTCGTTGGATACGCCATAAGCCAGGTAATAATTACACAACTGGCCAAGCTGTCCCACCGGGTACCGTTGACGGTTCTAGGAAAAGTTATACGAATACAACTTTGTCAAGGCGAGTAATATTCAAAGGACGAAGGTCGAGGTAAAGTCACAAAGTGGCGCAACCAGAAGGACGCAGGGATACGCGTGTAATTGGAAAAGTCCTTGAATTCCTGCGAGCAGAGAGCGGTGATTGATCGTGCGGCTGGC